CTAGATGATAACCCTGTTGGGAATATAGTGGATTGGATGCTAAAGGTTCCTCATCCCTAAAATAATAGAATTGAATTCTCTTTAAGAATGTGTAGGCTGTGTTCTTGGACCCATTGTCACTTAAGCCATCTTTATTTTCTGAACTTGCAGAGGCAATATTATTTAATTAGCTTATTGTATGCTTATTTTGCATTTAACATGTGCAAATGTATTTTATGTTTTCATATTTGTGTACATACAAATATACATAAAAGCAAAGATAAATACAACAAAACCAAAAGTAACTGTTTTTTCTTCCTTTTGTTGAACCTTACTTTATATTCCCCGCCGCCAAGTTTCTTCATGTGCCAGATTCTTGTATTTTATTCTGTTCTCCTTTTTTCCCTTTGTCAGTAAATAATGCATGTAACCATCTTCCATCATCAAAGTGGAAAGTTTGATTTTATTTAACGGGATCCCTCTTCCACTCTTTCAAACAAATGTAGCACAGAAAACATCTTTTTTTTCCCCCTTTCACATGTTAGACCTTTATGTGTGTAGTGCTACAGAAAACAGATAATTTCATGAAGGGCATAGATGTCAGGTGAAGTATGGAGTCAACTGCTGAAGAGGCTATGTGTAGAATCTCCCCAAAGAGACCAGCAGTAGGTTCATTGAGTTCTAAGAGCTTATTGAGGGGAGAGGGGGCTGTTTGCAGAGCACGTGAGGAGAGAGAGGAGTGTTTACAGAACTGACGAAGCACCTTCTACTTCAAATGTTTGTCATAAGAAGGCTCAGTTGAATGGAAGAATCCTACAAGACGAGTGATTTGGTCAATGGAGCTCTAAAACTCAAATAAGAGAAAATGTATAACAGGACAGAAATTAAGGAGAAAATGGTATTAAGAGAAAGTCTTTCAATGGTGCGACCAATATTGGCCTCTCCACACCAATGGAGAGCCATAGTTTGCATGAGCCAAACACCAATGTCTGAACAGGTAGGGCAAAATGGGGGGATTTAATCTTTACATGTTGAAGTCACTTTTTATGTCATACTTAAAAAAATATAAGGCAGGGCTGACCCCGTGGCTTAGCGGTTAAGTGCTCGCGCTCTGCTGCTGGCAGCCCGGGTTCAGATCCCGGGCGCGCACCGACGCACCGCTTCTCAGGCCATGCTGAGGCCGCGTCCCACATACAGCAACTAGAAGGATGTGCAGCTATGACATACAACTATCTACTGGGGCTTTGGGGCAAAAAAGGAGGAGGATTGGCAATAGATGTTAGCTCAGAGCCGGTCTTCCTCAGCAAAAGGAGGAGGATTAGCACGGATGTTAGCTCAGGGCTGATCTTCCTCACACACACACACAAAATTATAAGGCATTACGTTGTTACATTACTAATGGTTAGTTTGAGATCTGTCAAATTCTCACATGTTTTTTTCTAGATGATCTTATAACCTGTCCTTTAATATAGTGTATTTTTCTCCCCATTTATATTGGTATTTTACATTATTTTCATTACATTGATCCATCTTTATTTCAATTTGGCAGTACCAATTTGAATTATGATTTTATATTCTGAAATTGTTATCAGCTATCTTATTTATTGTGACCTAAAAGAAGTTAAGCTATAGATTCAGGAATGAGACTTCTGAATGAAGTGCTATTCGTCAAGTGCCACAAATGTAGTTGTGATTTTTTTTTAGTATGATCTTTCTGAAAGTTGTCTACCCATCTTAGATTTAATAGCCCACCCTCTTTCTTTCTTAATTTAGTGATATTGCTGATTAAACTAAGACTCAAAACACTTTAAAATAAAATTAAGATAACTATATGTATTCCTCTTTGATTTTCCTAGAAATGAACAAAGTTAGTTTTTCTGCATAAAGAATTTTTCGGTATATTTTTTCTGCATAGCTCAATAAACTCACTTGATGAGAAATGGTGTAAATTAGTTACACCAATTTGTAATAATTTTTTCAATATAATCAGGTTGTTAATTCCTATTATAAACTCCTCTTTGTATTTTTAGTAAGAATCCCTTAATTTTAGGTCTCTCATCGTTTTTTAAGTTTTCTCACCATGTCAGGTAATTCAGTAATGTGCATCTTTGAGGTCTTAAACCTGGTCCAGTTTGCAGTGGTGGTTGTAAGCATAAACTCTGGAAGCAGGGCTTGAATTCCTTCTCTACTAGATTATCAGGCAAACCCGGACAAGTTATGTAATCTCTCTGTGCCTCAGTTTCCCATCTGTAAAGTGAGAATGACATGTTTACTCTTACAGGACTGTTGGAGGAAATATGAGTCCACACAAATAAAGCCCTTACAGGACCTATAAAGTCTGATGCCCAGTGGCATGGGCCTTTTATCCCCATGCGATATGTACCATCCCCCTTTCTAACGTGAGTTGATTTCAACATTATGGATGGTAATAATAATAATTGCTCATTTGTTTAATATTTTCTACATGTTAGATATCTAATGCTTTTCATCCATTTAAAGCAAACAACAATCCCATGAGGCCATTTTGTTCTCTTCACTTTATGATCAGGAAACTAAAGCTTAGAGAGCTCAGAAACTTGTTCAGTACCAAGAGTTGATCAAAAGGCCCAAGTGTGAACCCAATTCTCTAACTTCAGAAGCCAAGCTCTGAATGATTTCCATGACATTTCCAAAAAAACAGGCCAAAGTAAAATACAAATAGTGTCTAATAATATTCACAAACTCCTGCACTCTTTCTTTCTCCTCATATACTGAGCTGTTGCCTTCCTGTGTCTGCTTAATTAACTGCATTTCACACCCTATTTTCACATTTTGACCCAATCTCCCTTTTTTGTCTGCTGCTGGGAGTATTTTTCTTAAACTCTTCTGTTATAGTCTCTTTTAATTTTTTGTCCTTTGCGAGTTTTTTGATATGGCTAATCAAGTTGTTTGCTTCTCCTATCCTATTGAGTTTTTTTAAATAAGCGTGTTTCTTTAGATTTCAATATTTTTTCCCGATCCCTACCATTTTGTCCTCTCTTCCTGTTAGTCATCATATTTATTGTATTAATAATGAATAATTTGGTATAGAAAAGGATTTCTTTTCTGATATTAGTAACCATTTTCAGCAAGCTTAAAGGTAGAAATTTAGTTTCCTGAACAAAAAGTGCATTTCTTTGAGGAATGTCAGGTGTACTTAGTTTTTGCCTTTGGCCCTTGATTTGCTGGCTCGCTTACCACAACTCTTCTAGAAAATGAAATTTTTCTTACTTCTATGCATTTGTTTTTCCAAGAGCAAGGTTGAGCCTGGCATAAATTTTAAATCCTTGTCCTTATAATATAAAGCTTATTGTTCGTGAATTTTAAAACCTGTATTTTAATTAGACATGTTTGTAATATTTTGGAGAAAATATAAATCCTCCAGAAATTTGCATACAGACGTAAGACAGACTTCCTGGTTGTGAGCTTCATGTTTATCTGTCTCATCTAATTGTTTTGAAATGATTAGCTCCATCAGAGCAACCTTTATCATTTCAAAACACTACTCCTCTGGAAATATACACACTTTTTGTTTAGGAAGTTTTTCTTAAATATTTTCCTAGTTTTCACCATGTCACAGTGCCTATTCTTTTAATTTTGGTTATTATGAGATTAAGTATTACAAGTTCATTGGAAATGAGAAGTTCTAAACTCTTAATTAAAAATCAGTTCTCAGTGTTAGAATGTATTTCTCCAATTCACTTTGCAACTTTTTTTGTCATTTTAACATGACTTTCTTAACTTCTTTTAACAGATTGTTTTCTCAATGTGACATAATTCCTTTGTGTTTGATTCGTTCCTTAATGGGAGAGAGGATAAAATAAGCTTTATCATCATCCACTGAGAAGCGCTCAGGAAATCAGAGTTGTGCGGTGTCATTTATAATTGGCACCTTATTCCATATAGAGCCCCCCTGGTATAAATGGTCATGCCTGACACTGGCTCTATTTTGGATATATTCTAATCTACAATGCCAGAAAGTAAATGTGCTGTCTAATATTGATTATAGCTGACATTTGTTGCAACCCTTAATAATTGGTCACATTCTGTTAATATGAAAGATGCTATATTTTCATTGTATATGTCAACTGAACCTTAGACTTCAAATATTTTTGAGGACCAGATAAAAATAATGACATGAATAACTAAAAAGATCCCAGGAGGGAAGCAAAAAATTGAAATTCAGTTTGGAAATAGTCCAACTGACTGTAGTAACTGGTGTGAATTCTTCTCAAAACAATTTAGACATATTGAAAAGATACAAATACTTCTGGAAAAGCCAAGTCAGCTGGTTATTTTGTCTGTTACAGTTAGGCTGGTCTTCACCTTCTCCCACTCGCCTTCCTTTCACCAAATTTATTTGTTACTGTGACAGTTTTCGTTGAGAAAGAGGCATATAAAGATCTTTTGGGAGTTGTGCAGAAACTAGAGTAGAACAGCCCTGCATTCAATGCTGTGGTACTAATTATAGAAATACGAGCCCCACCTATCTCCCCCTCCACCCCATGTACACACTCCCTCTCGCTTTTTCTTATTTTCTTTTGTTAGGAAAATTAACTACATTACTAAATTTATTTTACACCCTTAATAAAATTAATGTAACATCACCTGAGTGAACACTTCCTGAATTTTCTCAACTTGAACAATAAAGAACTAACCGTCTATGATTCCTTATAAAATATTTCCTATATTTCTTCTGGGTTTTAGTTTCGCACAGAGTTTACATTTCAGATTAACGAATATTCCCTTGGATGTTGGTAAGCAATAAACACACCACAGATGTGTTTTCCACTATAGCTGAAAGGTTTATTTCTGAAATAGCATGCTAATTATCGTTTTATTGGATAACATTGAATATATTGGTTCAAATATGACAGATTTTTTTTTATTCTTTCAAACCCTTTTTTTTTTATGTGTGTAATTTTTCCCCCGCCTAGACCTGGTTAACCGTTTCTGTGAGCAGGTCCTCAATTTTTTACTTTGTCCCTACTTTCCTGTCGTAGCCCCATCTTCCCCCGGTGTCGACTCCGTCCCCTTGCAGCGCACAGGCAGCCAGCATGGCCCACAGAATGCCGCCGCGGCCACCTTCCAGAGGGCCAGCTACGCCGCCGGCCCAGCCTCCAATTACGCAGACCCCTACCGACAGCTGCAGTATTGTCCCTCTGTTGAGTCTCCATACAGCAAATCCGGCCCTGCTCTCCCACCTGAAGGCACCTTGGCCCGATCCCCGTCCATTGATAGCATTCAGAAAGATCCCAGGTGGGTACAAACCTTTTTCTTCTAACCAGGCATTGTTATGGCTTTATTTCTTTTACGTCACATTATTGCCTTCACGTCTCTGGCTGAGTATTAAAGGGTTGACTTTGGTTGGGTTTTATTATCTTTTGTTTTATGTGGAGTACAGGTGTTGATTGTGGATTCCTAGGATCCTCTGTGGTTCAACAGCCGATAATAAAGATGATCTTTTGATCAGAACATCTGTAGATGCATGAGGTTTCAGCTGTTTGCTAAGCTCTAGAACAGCTCTCTTTAACACAATGGAAACTGAGGATTGGCATTATATCATTTGACTTCAGATATTATGGTCTAGGTATTTTATTGTCTCAATGGAAGCATGCTTTGTCACCGTGTGTGTTTCTATTTATCAGAGTGTAAAGTAGTACGCCTACTGCTTATCCTAAAAATTGAAAATTTAGAAAATCCACATTACCTTCATTTTTCTGTGTCTGAAAATAGACATTAGGTTGAAGTTGTTTGGGCATTGATAAAAACTTGAGCGTAATGTATTAGAGAAATTGTGTTATTGAGATGTGTTTCTTTTTTACTTTCTTTTTTTCAAAAGTGACAAGGGATTCAGTGATGCTCTGCTTCTGAAGTTAGAATTGAATTCCTGTGGAGTTAAGTGATGTTTTATTCATAGCCATTTGATTTATGTGGATAGAGTCCCATAAATATATATATGCATCTGTGAATACTATAGATGTGTCAGATTGCTGGTATTTCTTTATAGCAGGGCATCTGACTTGACTCTGGTGGTGTACTTAAAATTCGTCTCAAGGAATTTTCTCTGATAGAGCATGCAAGTGCATATGTATTGTATTGAGGGGTTTGCATAGATTCTTTTGTAAAAAGAGACCACTTCTACAAATGTAAAAGTCAGAATGGAACCATTTTATGGTACTGTTTGAGGTAGCTACTTTGGCACAATTCTAACCTGTTTGGAGGATCCATGACAAATATTATATTTGATAGAACCTTCACTGTAAAAGTGAATTGTAATAAATGTTCACTGTTAACTACTAGAAATAAGAAGTTTATTTATATTTATGTTGTGCAACGTCCTGCTTATGCGGTTTTTCAGTCTCAACAGCAATCTCTATAGTCTTGGTCCTGAAATCTGCCCCAAATCCTTAAATATTCTTGGCATGTGTGGATAGAATGTTCTTCAGATAACACTTCAACCCTCTCTATTTTTGAATATTTTTTCTTGACATGCTACTGAAAACATATAGAAATAGATTAATAGTGAACTCTTAAGAAATGCTAAATAGAAAAAAATATGATTGAATTGGCATTACTTTATTTAACATTGTATATTTAAATTGAGGATAAATGTTTTACCTCCAAAGGAAACATTTTAAATTTTCATATGAGGGGAATTTGGCTTAATAAGAAATCAAATTTATGTTTCTCTAGCTACAGCTTAGCTTCTTTATTTTATACTGTGCATTAAATGCATTTTATTTTATAAAATGGCATATCTTTTCTATTTTATATTACTGTCACTTTTATAACCTTTTTTCTTCTTTCGGTATATTATCATGGCTTTTGCCTTTTCAAGTTATGGATTATGTCACTTATATTTATTGAAGGCCCAATATAAACCAAAAAAGAGAAACATCAATAAGAAATATTAGAATGAATAAGAGAATATTGGCCACTAATCTTTTGTATGTGTAAAATTTATATGAAGATCAGTGTTATATGTATTATAAGTTCACTATGTTATTTTCAAAAATGCTGAGCACTGGCCTTAAAATCATACCACCATCCTAAGCTCAGATATACAAGCAAAATAAACAGAACCAGATCTAGAACCAGAACTGGATTGTTGTGGTTTAGTATAAAAGTAACTAATAACCTGGCATCATGCAAAATGGATGGAGTATACGTTACAATAATGCCTGTCTCGTAGTTTTTTTTAAATAAAAGAATATGTCGATGTGTTCAGATTTAATTGAGAGACATCCCAAATCTAAAACTCAAGTCCAAAATCTAATGCTTATTTTATACAAGATTTATGCATCTTCCTTCAAATAATGAATTTTGATTCTTCCCAGGTGAATATTACTAGAACTAAATGTTTATCTTCTAGGGTTCAAAATGGTTTATTTTGGCATTATGGCTTATGATTTAAACTTTTTCAATCTTTAGACTTCTTTCAAGCTTCTATACATACGTTTTTAAAGAGAATTTCTTCAAGTTTTGTTTATCATTAAATACCAGATCTTGTAAACCTCTTTACCGTTACAAATGCACGTTTATAGCATATTACAATTCTCAAAGCACTTTTACTTACGTCTCTGATGTAATTCTCCTTTGTGGGAGGAAACTGATATCCCCATATTTCGGACCTTAAATAAATGGAGAATTGGAGTGTTAAATGACTTATTGAGATCACATTGCTGAGACGTGGGTAAGGGGCTAGAATCCACACTTATAGGACATTGTGGCACATACTGGCGTGGACATCTTTATTTCCTTATAAAAAATAAAAAGGAAAAGGAAAGAATATACTCATATCTCTTATGATCTTTTTTGGAGGATGAGTGAATGGTGGTACTGGGTGTCTGTGTGTAGGAATTGGAAAGAAAGAAGGAAATGATACAGAACGTCTAAGTACATCTCGTCTCTTCGATAATTGCCTATGGGATGTGTGGTCTTTGTTTTATTTTTTCATTTCTTTTCTTTTCCAGTATCTGCCTTATTCATCTTATCGCAGACCAGTGTCTTTTCTCTATTAAAGAGTTTTAGTATGATTTAGTATGATTCAATGAGTTTTCAAGCAAATCGTGCATTTTAAAATAAGAATTTGAAGTCAAGAAAGCCCTGATTCAGTCATTAGACTAGCAACCTGAGACTGCCAGTGAGCTTTTAATTCTTCTAAACCCTAGGAGACCAAAAGATTGGTTCTGAAGACTTGGATTTTTCTAGCTTGCTTGGCTGAGTCATATAGAGCAGGGCAAACTTGGGTCTTTCTCCCTTTTAACTGCCCCCATCATGTACTCCAACAAAGAATGCACAGAAACCTTTCATACAAAGAGATGGTAGAATCTAATTTTCTTTTTAAAGGCAACAATCACTGAGATATATAATTTACTTTACATCCACATTTACTGAGAAGTTGTTTTTTTAATTGCATGTTATCTTCCGTAATATGTGAATCTCTTAAGGATTGTTGATACAGCTAATACATTTTTGATGCCACCCCAAATATTGAGTTTTATGTACTGTTGTTTTTAAACATGTGGGTCAAATATAAATCTTAAAATTAAATTATAGGAAGGAGGTTTCAGTGGGAGTGATAGATCACAGCATCCTTATTTTGGAAATGTGATAGATGAAATAACTAGAAAAAAATAAAGCAAGACTGGTAGGCCTGGGTACACTAAAGGTACTATAAACGTTCTTGTCTATAGAAGAGGAAGACGTATGGCTGAGACATTTCTTGCCATAACTTAACGTGTAGGTTGTAGCAGGAGTAGCATCTTTTAATCATGTTTGATTAATCCCTTTCCAAGATATTGTAATCCTCGATGTACACTATCTCAACAGCGATTTTTCGAACATGCTGAAAGAATCTAACTTTTTGTAAACATGATTTACAATAAAGCTTTATCTTTTGTTATTCAACATAACAGAGAAATAAGTACAATGACATATCTTTAGTGCTGAATTTGGGCCTAAATTAGCAACTGCATTTTCAGTTGCCTCTATCAAACTTGTACTCTATGTTTTGTTTCAAGACAGAATATTTGTCCAATAATATAAAAATATACACTTTTAAGGAATTACTTAGTGCATTTCTACTATATTTTATCTGCTACTTTTAAGATATTACTAAAATTACTTTATTATTGGATGTTAGTAGATATTATTAGGTAATACTGCTTATAAATATCTTTTCATTAGGTAAACCTAGGTTAAGAATGCTTTCCAAATGCTATTTTTTCATTGTTTCCCTGCCCACTACAAACCACACATATCACATATAGTGAATTGCATATAAAATACACTACAAGAAAGCTTTTTAAAAGGTAAAGATTCGAAAAATATTTTTTAAATCTTTATTAAAGTTTAAAGCACTATTATTATGTAACTTAAGTAACATGTCTGAGGTGTTTGCAATAAAACAGTTATATAATATTCTCCATAGTCCAGTTCTCTTGGGTGGTGGATCTCTGAAGAGTTTGCTTTTCACTTCAAATGCTCAAAAATCATTTATTTAACTGGGACGATGTCAGACGGGAAAATACAGCATTCACAGTTTAAAGAGCCTCCGAGTGTGAAGAGCACTTGGAAGTCATTTATTCTGCTAGGCTAAAAGCAAGCCTAACAACTGGCCATTCAGTCTCTGCTTGAATGCCTCTAGCAACGGGCCACTCACCCATCTCTTGAAGCATTTATTAATTCTTTGAATAATTCAAGCCTTATAAACTAATTTATATTGAAACAGTTCATTCCCTGATCTTGTTTCTGACCTTTGAAATGACGTGAGACTATGCCTAGCCCTTCTTCCAAGGACAGCCCTCGAAGACAGTTATTATTCCTCCTGCCAGTGCCCAGGCCTCCTGCTCCCCTGCTAGCTGTGGTCATTCTCTGAGCTGCCATTTCTAGGGCTCCCCTCTAGGAGCCCGACAGTGGCCAGTCTCCTTCCGAGGTCTGTCTCCCATCACCAGACGTGCGGGAAGAGAACAAGTGTTACCTTGGGACAACCTGGGTTCATAGTAGGTTTTCTTGACAGTTAGATGAGAATAATGTTTATAACAGTGATGATGCTAACAATGATAATTAAAATTAATTAAGTAATATAGTCCACGCTCAGTGTTAAACTTTTTATACTCATTATTTAACTTAATCCTCCCCAAATCCGTATGACATGACTTTTTATGGTGCCCATTTTACACATGGAGAACCTTACGTTCAGCGAGCTGAGATTAAACCTGTACCTGTCTGCCTTCTAATCCTATGTTTCTAAC